AATTTAGATTACTTTATACTATATTTTTTAATTTTAACAAAAAAGCATGTATATTATGCTTCCATGGGAGTATTTTAGTGTACATTTATTCCCTCGGACAAAATACCTAGAGGGAAGGATTTTTTTCAATTTTAAATATTTTGGAACACCTAAGAATCAATAGATGATTATTCTCAAAATAAAAATTTGATTTTGATTTTTTCAATAATTATATCTCACTCTCTGATAATTCATTCTCTATTCAATCTTGAGATATTAATCATAGAGGGTCTAATTATGATATTTTTTTTTTTTTATTGAGACTAATCTATAAGTTGAAGAGGTTAGATCCCAAAATTTGGGGTCCTAATGGGGTTTTACCTGAGGTAGTAATTAGGCAGTATACACCCAGGGTGTATAATATCATTTGGCTTTAACAGTTTTTTTGTATTTTCAAAATTTAAACTTTTTTTGGGCTTTTAATAGGTAGTAAGTCTGGGAATAACAACATATTGGTTCACCATAAAATGAGAATTAAATCGTGTTTGGTCCAAAAAGCCACAAGCAAACATTTGGGGAAAAAATATGGATCGGCAAAAAACTATATATACAAATATTGCAAATATACCAGATTAGGTTTAAAAAAAAAAGGATATATTTTAAATTCACAATTTTTAAGAAAGAATAAAAATAGAAACATCAGAAAATAAGAAAAAGTTATTACCTTTCGAAAAAATTAAAATTTGAAAAAATTAAATGGAAAGTTTTTGGAACCCTTTTTTTATAAAAGTTCAATGGAACGTGCTTTAAACTTTTTATGAAAATATCGCCTTTTTTTTTTTTGATCTTTTGAAAAGGTCATAGTTTACAAACGTATTTTTAAAAAATGTCACTTCTTTTAGAAAATCGCGTTAAAAACAGTAACTTGTCGAATCCAGTTATACTCGCTTGAATAACTTGGATGCTAGATACGCATAGATTGTTTTTAGAGAAGGGTGTGGTTTGTATAGAGCCGACCCTCTAAACAATCAAAGTAAAGCACACCTTCAAATGGTATCGAGAAATGTGGTTTCAATACTAAAAATCTTAGTGATAGCCTTGAAGTATATTTTTATCTTTAATTATATAATTTAAAGCTTAAAAAATAGTGTAAATCCAGCAGATTTATGAAAGCTTAAAATTTTTGAAAATTGGTGGTCCAAAAATGCGTTATAAGATTCACTATTTTCAAAACTTGAAATCTATGTTTTCTCATGTTCATGAATATTGATGTCGAAATGATCAATTTGAGGATATTTGAGCATCAAAAGAATCTCTTCTAGTCAAATTTTTGAGATGGGTTTTAATTTAATTGTTTAGAGCCTCGGCTCTATATAAACTTTGTCCAGAATAATAAGCTACCTGCTCAATTTTGTTCATGGAGTTTTGAAGGGCATAAATTCTGGTATAGGTTCTTTCGCAGAAGTCGAGGAGGTAAAGATGGCATGTTCACCCTCTTCGTCTTCTTAACAATGGCCAGGATCTCTCGCTTGCGGACTTGCGGTTCCCCAAGTGAGAAAATGCTTTTGGATGATGCTTAGGGAGATAAAAGTTATTAGGTTTTTGAGAGTTCTATGTATGGGTTGAGTAATTCTTTTCATCATCTGAGTCTTATCTCAACTATTTGGAGTCGGCTACATGAATCATATTCTGTCAAGAGTCATACCTTTAGTTTGATCATAAGTCACAATGTATTTTCTCACTACTTCTATCCACATCCTTTCGGGTCTTCCCCTTACCGTTTTAGAGTCTTCTACTTGAATCAAGTCGCTTATCCTAACTTGTGATGTTTAAGTGTGGCAACACGCTAAGCTTGGGCAAGGCCAGGCTAGGGCCTGGCACCTTGGCCCAACCCATGTGCCCATGAGGCTACTAGCCCAAGCCAAGTCATGGCCCTGTTATGGCCGGGCCAGGTCAAAAGCAAATGAAGAAAAAATAAAAGAAAAAACAAGAAAAAATCGGGCCAGGCTGGGTTGAATTTGGCCATCATTCATCTAGGTCAGCCCTCTGGCCATAGTTTGTTCCTAGGCCCTACTTTTTAGTAATGGGCCGACCAGGCCAAGCCGGCGTAGGGCGACAATGCCCTGCTGGCCAAGTGCCAGCCATAATATTGTTTTAGGTGGGCACTGCACATATCTAGCCCACTTATGTCTACTTTGCTTCATTTTATCACATATTAGAGCCACCACTTAATTCCCTCAAATATATTTATTCCAAATTCTATCATTTCTTTGTTTTACCACTCATCCATCTCAACATCCTCATCTCAGCTATACTCATTATATAGATATGTTGTATCTTGACCACCCAACATTCTGACGCATAAACATGCTGGTCTTACAGTCATCGGATAGAGTTTCTCCTTAAGTTTCTTAGGTATGAGATAATCACATAGAAATCTGAAAGCACATCTCTAATATGCCAACCATACTCTACTTTTATGCACGCCATCTTCCTTAATCTCTCCATTCTCATGGGTCACAGTGGGTTGGTGAACATGCTTGACCCTTAAAAACTAGGGCTTGGGCCACAAAATGTGGCCTGAAGGCCATGCTATGGCCAAGGTCGGCCCTGTGCGGCTCGACGCAACTCTCTTTTTCTTTTATTTTTTAATTTTATTTGGCTCAACAGGGCCTTGATAGAGCGATGGACCTTTTTGGCCCGATCAGGGTCAGGCTGGGCCTTTGGATGCAATGGCCTGTCTCGCCCTGCCCTGACCTGCTGTAAGCCCTAGCAGATTGAGCAAAATTCCCAAATTTACCGTTTGGTCCATAAGTTTGGTAGTTGTACTGTGAGGTACTCCACCCATTTTTATTTCTTTCTAATTTTACCTCAGTTTGATATTTCAGTTCAAACATCAAAGTAAATTTTTTTTTTTTTCTAATTTTTTTAGATTTGTAGGGTCATCCGATGTTTAATATATCGATTGCCCCATATGTAGGCGGTCTAATAACTGCAACATTAGATTGCCAACGTTGTCTACATAGTGGTCCAATATTACAAACATCAAACAAACATTAGACCGTCATTTTCCATATTTTTTTTATATTTTAGTGGTTTGAGCTTTTGAGCATCAAACAGCTTTTGAACTACGTTTTTTTTTCCCTAAAGCATAGACGGTCTAATATTCGAAAGCTCGGGCCGTTAAATAAAGATATATGAAAAAATACCAGTTTAATGTTTGTAAGATTGAACCACCCTATAAAGAACGATAGGCCAAAAAAGTAACGTAGTCCGATGTTGTAATTATCTAATCGCTCGAGAAATGGGGGGCTCGATGTTTAGACATAGCTCAAACCCACAAACGTCAAAAAAAAAGAAATAAAAATAAAATAAAAAATAAAAATCAAGTGGGTCCGTTTCAAAACAAATAATAAAGTTAACGGAGTAGGTCCGTTAAAAAAAAAGAGAGTTAAAGGTGTAGGACCTTGCCGTAAAATCACCTACCTTATAGACTCAAGGATAAATTAATAATTTTAGCCTATATGTACGGAAATATCCCTTGGTATTTTAAGTAGGCGGTGTCTCAACTCTAAGAAGAGTAAGAGAAAGTGTGAAGTGATAGAAAACGTAAATAAAAAGATAAGGGTAAACTTTTTTATTTTGAACTAATGGGTAAACTTCTTTCTCGCATCGTAAAAAATTGAAAAATTATCAAAAATATATTTTAATTTTATTCTAATTGGAAAAAAACCTTTAACTTTCATAAATTCTGTCCACACATTTTTTTTCTCAAGTTTAGTATGTTTTTTATAAAAATATCATTCAAGTTAGTCATATTACCGTGAAGGATCTATCATTACGGTACTTTAAGTAATGTAATGCGGTAGTTATTACCGTAAAAGCTATTTTACGGTAAAAGCTATTTTAGTAAAAAAAAGTCAAAATTGAGAAAAAAGAGTGTGGATGAGTTTTATGAAAGTTGAAGATTTTTTTTCAAATAGGCTAAAATTAAGGTATATTTCTAGTAATTTCCTTAAAAATTTCCAACCAAGTTTACATTTCCATAATTTCTGTTCAACTTTCATTGATGCCATATTTTCAACTTTTTCCCTTCGAAACCTTCTCAGACACAAACATAAGTAGGAACTTTGGAAAACCAAAAACAAAAGTGGAATTTGTGGAATTCACCTAAATAATTGGCGGCAAAATTCCAGAATCCCGAAGTCTACGTTATATACCCTTTGGGTTCTAAGCAAAAAGTCTCTCTACAATACGAATGAATCAATTAAAATAGGAACATAGGGAAAAAAAAATTTGTGACAATTTGGTCAAACAAAGTAATAATACATAAGATATTAAATTTAGATAAGAGTAATATACTTGATATATGGTATATCTGTTATAGAATTAAGTCATCCTAACAGTCTTTATCTTGTCATCTCATCCACTAGAGCGTGATAATAGAAGAGTTTTTGTAATATTAGAAATAAGTGAGACACAATGCATTATTTCTTAGCCTTTGTCTAAGCAAACACAAAGTAAAAAATCCTCCAAACATTACACCAATTCCTAGTGCAAGCGTGCCTTAAGTTATCTAATATCAAACTTTCCTTCAAAGGAAAGGGGTTGGAGTCGTGGTCATAGCCGTCCCACATCTTAATCATCAACGTTGTGGTTTTCATTGTCAATACGAACCTTATCTCACTGACACATTCAAAAAGCTAACTTCTAATATACTTAAAAAAGCAAGTAGCAGATAGGTGCCTGTCTTCCCTATTGAATTATCCAAAAAAAAAAAAAAATCGAACTGTTGTTTCCGATGTGAAGTCATGCTCTTCTTCATCCTCTAAAATGTTAGAATTGGAAGCCATGTTTCGAGTGGGCCTGAGTCAGCTGCCCCTCCTTCATCGTCTAAAATGTTAGAATTGGAAGCCATGTTTAGAGAGGGCGTGGGTCAGCTGCCCCTCCGGGGTAGGGGCTATCTTCCCTACATAATTACCCAAAAAAAAAAAAAAAAGTCAAACTTTCGCTGCCGTGAAGTCATGCTCTTCTTCGTCCTAAAAAATGCAATGTTAGAATTGGAAGCCATGTTTCGAGAGGGCTTGAGTCAGCTGCTGCTCCAGGACGGGGACGTTACTCTTCTTCTCCCATTCCACCATCTACAAATGGCCATAAAAAACCAAGTCTTTAGGGGCAGCAATGCGCCGTGTAGCCGAGCATGGCCTGAGCTTAAAACAAATTAGGGCTTAGGCCATAAAATGTTGCTCGAGGGTTAGGCTGGGTCTGAGCGGGGCCCAAGATAGGGACAGCCCAGTTCAATTGGGACGAACCCTTTTGCTCTTTGTAATTTTTTTTTCTATGTGGCCAAGCCCAAGCCTTAGCCCTAGCCCTAGCTCTAGTAGGACGAGGGCTAGATGCTAACATTCTAACTAATAGTAGTTAGTATTGGTATAGAGAGAGATGCATTATGTTGTGAATTGTAATTACCTGAAGGGTAAATGTAATGAGGGTGCGTTCCGGTGAGGGTGTGGCAAAATTGGAAGAAAGTAGACGGTAGCAGGGGAGGGATTCGAAAGCTTTCCATGTAGCAGCCAGAACCCCTTCACTCTTATCGCAAATCATCCTCACATAAAACCCATTCTCATCAACCTGAAACACATCCATCTTCACCACAAAATAACAATATCAACGCCCGTCCTTACATTTATATAACATGAAACACTAACTTTTATTTCATCCTATAATAACAAACAGATGTAAATTTTAATTATTTATTAAAACACACCCAAAGTATCAACTGTTTTAGCTCATGATCGCGTTTCTTTTGTCGAACTTTTTAAAAGGAAATGAAATGTCAAAGTGAGATCTGTAGTAGTTCATCTCTCGAATGATTTTTGATGAATTTTCATTATAACCAACAAATTCATACACACACCTGAAGTACCTTTCTGCAAGGGGATTGAGCTTTGGAATGGTGTTTAATGGTGTAGGAGGACGATGTATTATTGTTATTATAAGATGTTTGTCCTGCACCATCCCTTTGCATGGTTGATTCAAGTATAGCGATTTCTTTTCTGAGTTCTCTTGCTTCTCTTTGCAATTTCTGGACGTAAACCACAGCATCGCCCACTATGGATGCCTTATCCATCTACAAATCAATCAAACAGATACATATTATTAGCCGAAATGAGTGTGTGCGCGTGCGTGGGGAGTCCATGTGTTCCTAACAGAAAGATGCAATGGTTATAGATCTACATAATATGGATTTCATGTATGCGGTTATCAGTGCTTGTGAATGCTAGAATGTAACCATCGTGTTCGACATTTGAAGACTTGGACACTTGTTTGCAACTTTTTCTTCAATGCTAGAATGTAACCATCGTGTTCGACATTTGAAGACTTGGACACTTGTTTGCAACTTTTTCTTCAATGCCAAAGTCTTAATGTCACCTAAAATTCACCTTGCCTCTTCTTTTAATGATACACGGAATATATTTGTAATTAAAAGTACAATTTTAAAATTAGTATTTCTGACATTTATATCAGTGCCTTTTAGTGAGGCTTGTATACTTGTTTATGTTAGTTGTTAAGGCACCTAGCAATGCCCTTGAAATGCCGAGAAAGAGAGAGTCGTACTTGGGGCTTACCTTAGTAATGTTGGGAACTAGAGTTCTCAAGGCATAGAGCCTCTCATTAAGCTTTCCCCTCCTCCTCCTCTCTGAGCTAAGAGTCTTAGAATGGTCACAAGGGCTAATGAGGGTAGATGCTTCCACCGTCTCCCCTTTTTCCTCGAAAAAGAAAGAAGGGGGGCTCATCTCTCCTCCCTTAAAACTGCTACTCCCACAATCCAAATCAAAGAAGACATCAGGAGAAGCTGCTAAAAAAATTTCTGTCGAAGAAGTTGGGTAAGCAAAAGCCTCTCTATTCTCTTCTTCAGTGAGGAGGTGGTTCAGTATGTTCTCAAAGCTCTCCATTGTTGCTCCACCACATCCCTCCATCTCTCTCTCTGGTTCCCTCTCTCTAAGCTTACGTTCTCACTCTGAACTCATGGCTTTATATCCCTTATTCTATCACTGGAGACAGGGAAAACTTATTTTCTCCGTCTTCATGTAAGTTAATTTAACCCTTTTTAGTAAATTTATTGTTGTGGCATTGTCCTAACACCCTCTAAGATCGGACGGCTCAGATGTGCCGAAAAGGTGTTAGTGGGGAAATCTCAACCGTGAGTTGAACACATGCCTAGTGTGAACGGAATCAACCTGTGGCATATATGACGTTTGTGAAACGTCCCATTGGTTCCCAACTATAGAGACGTATGATGCAACATCTCAGGCATCTTCATTTTCTTTATTATAATAGTAACAGTATCACTTATCAGTGTCAAAAAATGAACAGCTTTCTAGACATTAGAGATTGTATACTATAATATCTTTTATCATTATTACATGGTGGTCAGAATTACTTCTAGACAATTGATGTCAAATTGGAGTATGTCACAAAGTATAAGAAATATTTGTTCTGAACTTTGAATCTAGTTAATAATACACTTACAACAACACGATATAAGATATAAGATCTGGTGGAAAAAATGTAATTGTGACCTCCCTTGTACTAAGTAATTAGTTTCTTTGTATATTTTTTTTAGGATTCAATCACAAGAAAAAATAATAATAAAAAAAAGCCCCATAGTAACCTTTAATAACCAGTTAGGGATTGAAATTCAAGAACGGTATGTAGGCTGCGTTAAACTAGAATGTCGTAGGACCGTTGAAGTGTTTATAAGTATCTCATTGATTTGAATATTTTTTTCGTGAGAGAGAGAGAGAGAGTAAGAGAGAGAAAACAAATGGACCATCATTTTGCTTTCTCTGAGTCCGGTTTGATTTTTCAAGTCCAAATTTTTCGGATAAATCTCAATCCAAGAGCATTTTTTGAGACCATAAGTTTTGGTGATATACGCTTCAAACTAGCAACAAACCTAAAAGAAATGTCAAGTCACCCAGTATGTACCAGAGGAAAGAATGAAAAAAAAAAAAAGAAGGGAAATTTACGTTGACAATAGAAAATTTTACCGTAATTACATTCTCGTCCACAAGTTTTTGGGAAGGTCCTTCTCTCATCTTTTTTTTATAATTATATTATGATTTTGCTAGGGTTCAGATATTGCAGACATCTGATGATTTTGGAGCTCCAGTTATTTATTATTTCAATTGCAATAATCAAATATTTTTGAGTTAATACTGCTTTCTTTTTACCCTTACTATCATTCTTTGCTATTTTTCAAAGAAATTTTAGGAAAAATTTCGTATAGAACCTTAATTCCTCATATTATTTCATGGTAGACTATATTTCCGTTTTTCTTTCAAGGGGCATAAGGAAATCCCTGACGATTTCATTATATCTCCTTATCTCTTATCTCCCTCTTTTATTGACTTTTGACCATAAAAATTAAATCTTTTTATACCATTTATCCTAAAAACTTTTTTAATCATCTTTTTCCCTTTTTACATATTAAAAAGGTGTTTAGGTTGAAATGGTATAAAAAAATTTGTTAGGGCAAATTTTTATGATCACACATCAATAAAAGAGGGAGATAAGAGATGAGGGGGTATGGTGAAATCTTTAGAGGTTTTCTGATGTCTCTTGAAATACAAACGGATAGAAGGTCTACCATGAAATAATACGAGGAATTAGGGTTCTATACGAATTTTTTTCTAAATTTTAATATCAACGCTTCTACAAATTCCAATACAACTACCATCTAATACTTCCACTAGCATACAATTATGTTCTAGGTGGTGTACTAGACCACAAATGTTTTTAATTTTTTTATTGTTTCATCGAACCAATGAGCACTCTTAATTTTCCAAAATAGCAAGTCTTCCTAAGCTCTTAGTAGATTTTTGTTGAACTTTATAGGTTTTTGTGGCAAACTAGGGTCATTATGGTCTGTCGGAATACCTAGGTTTGAAAGTATCTACCATTTCCTTGATCCCATGAGCATTCTCTTACTTTCCAAAATGGCAAGTTTACCTAAGCTCTTAGATGTCACGAAATTCTGCCAAATCTTAAAAGTTTTTTGAGGTAAACTAGGGTCTTTGTGGTCGGGCGGGATACATAGGACATAAAAGAATACCGTTGGCAAAACCATGACAAAAACAAAGAAAAGAAAAAAGACGAGACAGAAGGAAGGACCTCTGCCCGAAATATCAAAAAATACGGACCAAACTAATTATGGTAACATTTTCCAATCTCTACATAATTTTTCAAAAAAAAAAAAAAACTTGCAAGAGCGAACAAAACGCTGTCCAATTTTTGGAAGATGAGATCTAAGAAATGAGAAACTCCAATTTTAATTTACTCTTCAAAATAATCATTTGTTGATTTTTTTTTTTTGACAAATAATAACCATTTGGTGATTTAAGATCCAAAAAATCCTGTCAAATAGCTTTTCTCTCGATAGATTAAGTCTACAACGTCCAATGGGAGCATGTATACACCCATGTTTTTCCAAGAGTCTGGGTGTATTTGTGCGTAATTTTTATTTATAGTTCTTAAGAAGTCAACTATGGCTTTGTAGGGTCATAAAATGCCTCCATTTAATTCCTTTTCTATTAAATTTTAAATGCAGTTCCCATTTTAGGAATCGGATTTCATCGGATTTATTCCCTCTCATATTGTTTGGCTTAGGCCTCAGCGCAGGTGGGTACAGAATAAATAGTGATGAATCATTTCTCTTGAGACCGAGTGATCCTGACCGTCCCTTCAACCCCAATAATTGGCTTCTAAGCTCTACCCATATGAACACATTTGGGTGCTCAAAACTCTCCCTGCTTCCCCTAATATTTATTTTGAGATAACAACAACACTAGGTGATATTGTCAAAAAAATAAATAAAAACAATGGTAGGTGATGATATATGTAAATATAGTAGATCAACACACTTGGTTGGCCTTCCTTTGATTCTTTTAATATTTATTTTCATAAAATAATGGTACCAGCTATGATGTACATGTAAATACAGTGCATAAGAAACAAAGTAGGCACTTAGATATGGGTGAGGTTTGTATACGGTGTCAACCATATACAATTGAAGTAAGGTGCATCTTAAAACTATGTAAAAAATGCAGTGTCAGTGCTGCAAAGTCTTGCGATGCTATGAAATTCCATTATTGATCCTAATTATGAAATTTAAAGTTCCAAAAATGTTGACAATCAACCCGGTCCATAAATACTTGAAAATCTTGAAAATGTACAGTCCCTGTAATGTGTTAGAAGATGAACTATTTTTAGAATTAAAAATTCATTTTTTTTTTTTAATATGTGTTTATGAATTTCGAGATCGCGATGATCAATTTAATGGTTTTCAAGCATAAAAATAACTTTCTCTAATGGGTTTTTTCGATGCATCTTACTCAAACACCTGATATAAACTTTTTCCTTCATGATAAGTGCACTTTAATATAAAGGGGCGTGTTGCAAGAGAGGCATCAACACGTGCAATCCACGGCCTGCACGTGGAGGAAAGCAACATGAGTAGGGAGGGCACAAGTAATCCAGATAATTCCTAAAGGAAACAACCCTAAAAATAAGGCAGTTTTTTTTATTAAAATTAAAAAAATGAGGTTAGTATTAATTATTGGGTGCGGTTTGTAATATTAAACAATCCAATGAAGGCGGACCTTAAAATTTTATTATAACATGTAATTTTATTGTAAAAAATACTTAATGTTATCTTGAAATCTATTTTCATATCTAATTAGAAAATTTTAAATTCTAAAAATGGTTAAAATCAAGTAGATCTATGAATATATGAAAATCTTGAAAATGGACGGTCTAGATAATGTGTTGCAAGATGCACTATTTTCAAGACTCAAATTTTTTTTTTCATATTCATACATCACGATGATCGATTAGAGGGTTTTTTCAACATTAAAACAATATTTCCGATAGATTTTTAAGGTGCATTGTGTTTCTACATTTTAAGATTACAACTTTATATAAACTTTTCCCTTAATTATTTAGTAGTTTTATTATTGGATATGGAAGTAAACAAAAGCCCGATTGATATTTGACTTTTCGCATTGGGTTGGCTTTATATGGAATATGTGTGATGCATTCCATGACTTAAAATGGTCACCGGCTGACGCTTGTGACAAGCGACTGCAAGACTGTGTGTGGGGCTAAATGGGACTGGGGTGGGGGCATTGGGGGTGAGGGGAAAGTTGCCTCAACATAGGGTACTCCTTTTCTAATCCCACCATTAACATATATAAAAAATATTATTTATAAATAAATATATGAGGTTTTAAGGTCCTCTCCTTTACTATAAAAGTAAGGTGCGCCTAGATAAATTTACTTAGAGATGTAGTTTTAGTATTGAAAATCTTATGATGGCTTGAAAATCTATTTCTATTTTTAGTTATGAAATTTAAAATATTAAATATGGTACAAATTGAGCAGATCCATAAAACTTAAAACTCTTGAAAATAGATGGTCCAGATAACTTATTACAAGAAATATTATTTTAAAGATTTTTTTTTTCTTCATATCCACATATCTCAAAAGGAAGATGATCAATTGGAGGGTTCTACAATGTCGAAACTCTCTTTTCAAGAATACCTTTAAGGTGTACTTTACTTCAATAACATAAGGTCACAATCTTATGTAAATGTTTGTCTTAAATAATATGACAATGCAATTTGTGCGTAAAAACTTCCGATGGTGAACTATATAGAGTCAGTTCTTAAATTAGTTACAGTGAAATGAATGAACATTTAGAGGCCGTTTGGGTACCAGTAAATTTATTACATGAAAAATAGATTACAAGGAAATATGAGATTTAAATACACTTTAATAATAAGAAAATGGAAATAGATTACTCAGATATTTCTCCAAAAATCATGAACCCATTACACGCATGGATCGCTAAAAAATCTATTACATTGCCTAACGGGTAATTCTTTATTGGCAC